CATTAACAATTACATTTTCATCATATATTGTCTCATTATTTATTGTACAGTTCTGTGAAATGCCTGTTTTTCCTATATTTTTTTGTAGAACACTATTCGCCATGTTGCCCTCGTATCCCCATTACTTTTATTCAATAAGTCACTATAATATTCTTTTTTATGTTTTCTTATAATCCCAACTAATTTGTTTTTATATTTTTTATATTTATCTTCTGCATCTTGTGTTCTGCATTTCAAGAAACATAAATACAAATAGTTTTTCTTCCTACAAGCATTTCTCAGTCCATTTGTCATCACAGCTGGTCAACAACATTCTTCTTGGTGTAATTATTTAGTGCACAATTTTTTTTATATAAAGTATCCAAGATATTCATAAACACATCATAAGATTTGTTTACATCATCAACATAGACACTATCCCAGTTTTGTACAGCTTAATCATTTTTCAAATTTTCCAAAGCTTGCTTGGATGTATTTATTATTTTTTTCTTTTTAGGAAATGTTTTTGTGCTTATTTGATACTTACTATAAATTGTAAAAACCGGTAAATGATCACTAAGATCATTCATCAAAATACCCCCAATCACATCCCCATTTGTTGTATTTGTAAAAATATTATCAATTATTGTTGCACTGAGTCGTGATTCTTGTTGGCTTCGAGATTAATGGGTAAAGATTTAAAGTTTGCATTGAGTCAATAAATGTACTGATATTATTAGAATCTGTTTTTTTCCCCAAATCAATATTAAAGTCACCACATAAAAAAATTGTTTTATTACAGCTCTTATTAATATTTCAATAATTTTATCTGTGAATGACTCAATATTTGATCCAGGTGGTCGGTATACACAACTTATTATGATATTTCTATCATTTTCATTTAAAATTTCTATTGTTATCATCTCAATTGAGTTCTCATCAGTTGTTGACATTTCCCTGTTTACATTTTATTGCACTATTGATGAATAAAGCCACACCACCACCTCTTTTATTATTTCTATTAATATTATATAATTCGTACCCATCAATTTGGGCATTAATTATATTTTCGTCATTTAACCACGTCTCAGACAATGCTATTATTGTAAATGTTCTATTTAATTGTTTTAAATAATCTGTTATCTTGGAAATATTTGCATTTATACTCCTACAATTGAAATGAATTATAGAAAAACCAGGCTTTGTCAAACTGATATCATTAAATTGTTTTTCACTATAATAATCACAATCCTCTATTTTCGGATAAAAACCTGGATCAATCAAATCAACAACGTTATATATTTTCGGTTCTAAGTCAGCATAAGCTGTCATAGTTAAAACATCCGTTCACCAGACTAATGTTTTAACAATTATGTATTAAATATAATTTTGATGATTTGAAAGTTACCATTTCATTGGATTATTTGAATTTTTCCAAGTCCTTTATTTCCTTTATTATTTTAGGTTGTGATTCTTCTTGTACTTTTATCCAAATGTGTCCATTTCTTGTCCATGTCGATATTATACTTTTTAGTTTTTTTAACAACCTCGCCTCCCGTGCAATAGTTGCATTCTTTTTTGTTAGATGTTCATTTATATATACTTTTGTACCCTTTAGTTGTTTTGCCTGCATCATCACATTATTTCTGAGTTTCCTACTGACGAATCTGACAACTATTGTTGGTTTGATTTTATCCTGTCCAGGCAAGGTGTAACAAATTGACACATCCTCACTTTCAATATTAAAGTCTTTGTCCTGCAGAAATGACACAACTTGGTCTTCCAATGTTTGTAATTCTTGCTGTGAAGCGTCTTCTGTTGTTGCAGAACCCGTCACAGCTTTTGCAAAGGACTTTGGTTTTACTGTAAAACCAGTTATAATCAGATTCTCTTGTCTCGCATTTCTTTCCATGTCGTCAACTCTTTTTTCAAGTTCAATTATTTTATTGTCCTTTTCGCTTATTTGAAGTTTAAGTTGTTTTACTTCCTCAAACAATCCAATTAATAGTTCTTGTTTTGATGTCAGCTTGGCCAGTTCCATACTCATAAAATTCAAAGACTTTTTAATGTCCTCCATGTCTTCTACACTTAGTTCGTCCAAATGTTCTTTCTTTCCACGTTTGGATTTACTTGACATATTTAAGTGTACTCACGACCTGGAGATGTATACACAGCCAAGCAAAGCCGACGCCCGATCCCAAGTCACAGCTGCCCTCTGGTGGTAGCCAGCGGCCACTGCACCCGAATCCAACGTCAGATGGAGAACAGACCAAAAGGCCCCAGGAGCCTGCAGAAACCTCCACCGAAGACCAGCCTCCAGCTGCACACAGACCCAACGGCCGCAGACCCGAACCCCCGCCTTCCAAAGCAGGCACAACCCCAGCAGAAGGTCTCCACAGCAGCCCCACACCGTCGCTCCCCAGCTCGGCGGAGCCAACTCCACGGCCTGCCTTTCACCTCCTTCCTCTCTCTTTGTCCTCCTTTCTCACTGTCCTTCTCCACTCAGTTTTCAGTATTTTGTCGTTTTTGAAGCAGTTTTATCCAAAGTTAAGTCCACTTTTCAGTTAATTGTTTGCAGAGACACTCCCAAACATACTTGCCCGGCGGCCATCTTGAATTCCCTCATTTTAAGACGATCAAGAACTCTTTCCCATTTTTCAAAAGCCTGGGATTTCCCATTCTGAGAAGAATATCTCAGTCTTTCTAATACAATAACCTCAGAAATTATATTTTTCCACAATTGAACCGAAGGGACATCACAACCAACCCATTTAAGCATTATGGACTTTCTAGCCAACATCAGTAGGAGTCGTACAGTATCTTTATGAATTTCCAGGTGCCTGCGTATAAGCCCTAGGAGACACAGCACTAGACAAGGGAGTCTGCTCTATAGCGGAGCCAATTTCTCTACATCCTGCCTGACAAAATGCCTCTATAATTGTACACTCCCATAAGCAATGAAATCTAGTCCCTATGGCTGATTTACATTTGGGACAGTTTGAAGAAATTCCTGGTGTTTATTTGCTATATATATAGGGAGGTATGTATACATTATGTAAAATATTATATTGCATTTCCTTATATTGGTTACATGTTGATATTCTAGAGTGCAGCATCAAAATGTCTTCCCATGCTTCAGAGTCATTTGTGATTTTAAGCGCTGTGTTCCATGTTAATCTTAAATTTTCCAGCCTATCTTTCTTTAGGACTTGTAGTTCAGCATAGAATCTTGACACAAATCTTCAACATTCATGACAATCAAGAATTGTTTTTTCAAGTACTGTAAATAACTCCCTTGAGAACTCCAATGAGTCCATTTTTGCCTTGACTTAATGCCTTAGCTCAAGATATTTGTAAAAGTTTCAGGGAATAATGTTTTATTGTGTTCTTAAGTTCTCAAATGTCTTGAATTTTCCATTATCCCATAGATCATGTATTCTGTTAATGCCAGCTTCTTGCCATGATCTAAGATTGGGACCAGCGCCCTTTTAAGACTGGGATTAAGACTCTCCTTTTTGCTAAATCCTATAGTTAGGGTCGGCTTGGGTTTCCTGAGCTGTCCCTTAGTTCTGCTGCTATAGGCTTAGACTGCTGGAGGACAAACTGACCACACTTTTCACTCTGCTACTGTCTTTACTTACTCTGCTCAACCTGTTTTGTATTTGTAATTATTTTTTCTATCCTTAACATGTTTTTTGTCTTTCAGGTACACCTGGACCTATACCTGGACCTATATCTGGACCTGGACCTATACCTGGACCTGGACCTATACCTGGACCTACCATTCTGTGTTCGTCTGTCTCTCCTTCCTGTCCTCTCAACCAGCCGGTCAAAGCAGATGGTCTCTTGTCCTGATCCTGGTTCTGCTGGAGGTTTCTTCCTGTTAAAGGGAGTTTTTCTTTCCACTGTCTCCACTGTGCTTGCTCAGGATGGGAGACTGCAACGAAGCCTAGATTCAACTTGTCTGCTGGATTCCTTAGATAGAGAACTTTACTAACTGGCTTTTATGTGAATGTTCCTGTAAAGTCCCTGAGACAACTTTGTTGTGATTTGGCACTTTATAAATAAACTGAATTCAATTGAATTACTGTCAAATCCAGATTGTCTACCAACGTGGTCAAAGGTGAGAAATTCTTATTCTGTCCAAACATTTTCTTCAGAGTGCCCCATGCCTTAATGCCTTAGTAATCAGAAGATTTGGCAATGAATGGAAGTTCTCGGTTTTGTTTAATAAATTTATCGGATGAAAGGGTTTACAAACACTTTCCTTAATCTCAAGCCATGGCTGAACATGTTT